AAACGAAGTACATATAAAGTGTAAATAAAAATCCACACAAACCACGCTGCAGCAATTAACTGGACAGGGCAGGAGAAGGAATTGCAGACTTGAAAGGCCAGCAAAACACACACAGTTGGGAAGATGCCAGGAACCCATATAAGCCTCAACAATACCAGATAATTCATGGTTTGCTCCCAACAGTTTGCTGTGTGCAACATCCCTTTTTAAACACTGTGTTCCCACCTGCAGCTAATGAAGGGAATCAGGGCCCTTTCCTCCCCCGTAAGCCATGCAACCCACGTTGCTCCCTTCTCCATTCCTCCCTGCATGCCCTAGGATGAAGAAGGGGTGGGCCTGGGTCTTCCTCCGAATTCCTTCTCCCTTGCTCTACTTCTCCTCTGCTCTGCCCAGCCGGACTTTGCCCTTCCCCAGTTTCTTCCACAGCCAACGGAGCCACACTCCCACTCCCTCTCAGCTGCTCAGCCTCCCCCTCAGAATCAGATTCTGACAGGGGCATGACAGAGGCATTGAGGAATGAATGAAAAGTCTTGATTAACTTAGCCTGTTATGGAAATTGAAGGACCTTGCTTTGACGAATGGCAATATTTTGAAGTGACAGAAAACTCTGGGCTGGTCCTCAAAGGAATACAGGAAGATTGTTTAATTTTTTATTTAGAAATTATCAGAGGAATGTTACCCCCCCACACTTCCAAAAAAAAAAAAAGGGGGGGGGGGGCGAATGCCATTTAGATCCTCCAGTGGAAGAAAAACATGATGATTTGTTGTTTCACTATGAATACAGAAAACTGAAGTGGACGTTTGAGCTTCCTGGTGAAACTCATTCTTTGCAATCCTTAGCAAAAATGGATGAAATGCAAATGATGAACGTGACTCTGCTGAAGGACAAAAATATCATGCGGTCCCTGCTATTCTCAGTAAAATGAGGAGCTGAAAGAAATGTCAAAAACTCAAGGGAGTAAAAAGTTCAGCCAGACAAGTTGCCAAGAACTGGTACTTTCGGTCTGCAGCACCAGATTCTGTGATCTGTACTCAAGAATCATTCAGTAACCGGGGAAACCTCAGCTGACCGGGTACAATCCTGCAGGTTCAGGCTAGAGACCAGAAATGGTATTCAGCAGGTTCTGACCAGTTCTGGAGAACCAGTAGCGGAAATTTTGAGTAGTTCAGAGAACCAGCCAATCCCACTTCTGACTGGCCCTGCCAACCCCATCTATTCTCTGCCTCCCAAGTCCTGGCTGGGTCTCCTTTTGTTGCCCTGCACAGGAGAACAGAGCTGGAAAGCAGGTTAATGGGGTGGGAATGGGATTTTGCAGAAACCTTCCCCTGCCACGCCCACCAAGCCACGCCCATCAAGCCACACCCACCAAGCCACGCCATACCACGCCCACCAAGCCATGCCCACAGAACTGTTAATAATTTTTTTGGAATCCCACCACCGCTAGAGACTTGAACCTGGGCTATAAACTCTGCTAGTTGGAGACCTACCCAATGTTGAAAGCAATCTTTTCATCATCTGAGCCAAACATGGTGCTGTGATCTTGAGGACTGGCTGCTTGGTTTGTGCTCAAACTCTGTTCTCTTGATCTCTCTGAGATCTCCCTGTTGTCCTGATTCAACCCTGAGCTTCATATATTCTCTTCTAATGATTTTGAGAGTTAAAAAAAAAACATTTAAAATAAATGAAATTGGTGGCAATTGCAGGATGCTAATGTCGGCTTGCAGGGCTAAACCTACGATTCTTTTAGGAAAGCACCTTCGGGTGTGGGTTGGATAAGTTGGCCACCTTGAGTTATTTGTGAAAAATCATAAAGAAAGGACACAAACAGGGAAATAAATCCCTTGCTTTTATTTAATTTCCCAGCGGTGAGAATTATAAAATTCCAACGCTGGAGCTTTCTCAGAGCAGGAATTGGAAATTATTTGGAAGATTCTGAACAGATGCTGAACTATGGAAAGGGATGTGACTGAAATGAGCCCCAACAGTAATACACCTTCAATCACTTCCAATAATCCGAGAGAGAGAGAGAGAGAAAGAGAGAGACAGAGACAGAGAGAGAGAGACAGAGAGACAGAGAGAGAGAGACAGAGAGAGACAGAGAAATAGCAATAACAGACTTATATACCATTTCACAGTGCTTCACAGCCCTCTCTAAGTGGTTTTACAGAGTCAGCCTATTGCCTCCAACAATCTGGGTCCTCATTGTACCAACCTTGGAAGGATGGAAGGCTGAGTCAACCTTGAGCTGGTGAGACTCGCGCTCCTGGCAGTCAGCAGAATTAGCCTGCAATACTTCCTTCTAGCTATTGCACCACTATGGCTCAGTGCAACAGCACTGAGACTTATATACCACTCTTTAGTGCTTTACAGCCCCTCTCTAAGTGGTTTTATAGAGTCAGCCTATTTCCCCCAACAATCTGGGTCCTCATTTTACCGATCTCAGAAGGTTGGAAGGCTGAGTTAACCTTGAGCCAGTGAGAATCGAACTGCCAAACTGCTGGCAGCCGGCAGTCAGCAGAATTAGCCTACAGCACTGCATTCTAACCACTGTGCCATCACAGCTGCACCAAAACAAATAAAAATGAATTTTCAAGTTTCCTGAGAATGAGGTAAAAACACAAAGGGAAGAAAGCAAATTGCGAGGCAGATAAAAGGCATCTCTTTGGGATATTATTATGCATCTTATTAAAAACTGTATGAAAAAAAGGCAGCAAGGATTCTTAATAGAGGGGAGTTGTTGTTTTGCCTGCCCTGATCTGAAACAGACAAGTTTGTAGAAATAGGTTAGAAACGGGAAAGGTTAAACTTTTCCTGCAAGGCAGGGATGATCAGGCAACAGCTCCGCCACTGAAACTGGCTTGACTTTTCTTTAAATGCAAACTTGGGACAAATTCCACCCTTTGGGGCTGCCATGGAATTGAATGATCAGTCAACATTCTGTGATGTTTTGCCCTGCAGTTTGCTGATACAAAATGTCAGAGGGAAATCTGAACAGAAAGGCCCATACATGTATTTCTGAAAAGAACCTACAGGTAGGAAGTTCTCCCAAATGATGCTTTTTGGATTTTCTCCCAAATAATGCAGAGCTAGAGGAAAGTGTAGAAAACAAATTTTAATGGGATTGTATCCTCATCATCTAGCATGAGAATAGCCAGTTTCCTTCTCCCTCAGCATCTTTGAAAGTTGAGATCTCAACATTCTGGACTGCTGGATATTTCCATTTATAGTTGGATCCCAAGGAACTAGAGAAAAATTGGTGATAATCACTTGAAACCTGAAAAGTTTAAATTAAAACTAGGCATAAACAGATCTGTGTAGTTCTATAATTCAGCATTGTTTGTGCAGGGTCGACCCAATGAACTCTTTCCCCAGTCTTGAATAATATCTCAAAAATTAAATAAATAATTAAATCCAGACTTTTGTTTCACACAAGTTTGGTAGCAGCAATCCCAAATTAAATTCTAGACAAACAAACAGTTACAATTTTTTTCCCCTTTTTGCACAATAGATTCCCACCTTAGGAACCTCAGTTCTAAACCGAAACAGTTCCTCTCCCCTCTCTGCTTTTCAAAGAAGCACCTTCTAAAAAAGAAAGTCAAAACAGTGTGGAAACTGATTTCCTTTCTGCATGATAGCCAAGAAGCTGTGATAACACCTTTTAACTTTCTTGTAACCCTTGGCACCCTTAATTCACCCTCCCCCTTATGCCAACTGTGTGAGATAACGCAATTGTAAATTATTTGGGTGAAATGTACAGTAAGCAAGGCATAAAACCCTGCATTGCAACATCCAGGAACTAAAACCAGCGAACTCATTCATTATTGTGTACAATATGACACAGTGATCTCATTTTTCCAGCTAAGAAAAAAAAAAAAAAAGAATTACTCGTTTTCTTCACACAAGTGTAGATGAAATCAGTAGGAGATAAATTGCAAGAATACTAGGAAATCTTTCAGGCAAAAGCAGTACAGTGGGGGTGGGGTAAACAAGGAGAAAGGGGATCCAGGATTGCAAATCTATTGTTTGACTTTAATATATTTTACAAAGACGTGTGCGTATTCAAACTTTAGCATTTCAGGGAAGTCAGAAATAAGCACTGTTGCCACAGAACCTGTTCTGCTGCTCCAGGTATTTTCTTACTTCTTGGGTGTCCTTTAACATCTGCTAAAACCAGCACTTGTAAAATCTGGCTGAAGCCTTTAGAGCTGCGTTTTGCCTGAATTGCACCTCCCGAAGCAGCTTGCTTCAATCCTGATCCTGTTTTGAAAAACAAGGTCTTATTTTTGAAACACACAAAAAGCATCAAAGATCGGAGAGTGTTTCTGAGCTCATGCAGAGGCACTTTTCTATCATGGTTGGGGTGATTGTCACCTCTCCAGGAATGTCAAAGGTCCTTCATTGTAAATCTGGGCTTCTCACTTGCAGCTCAAGGAAAAGGTCCAGGAACGGATGAGACGATGGCTTTTCCATTGCCCTAATGACCTAGTGATGGACCACAATCCCCAAGACGAGAAGAACCGATCTGTTCTCCAAAGTTCACCAGGTGTAGCAAAACAGAATCTTTTGTTGTAGAAGGCAGTTGAGTCCTAGTAGTTAAAACCTAGAGCATGGGACAGCTTGCATGCCAGTAGTCCAGAAGTAGTCATATGCTGCTAGAAACAAAAATGGAGCTGAGCTCTGCTGAACCCATGTCCTATTTCAATAAGTTCCTTCCTCTGCTTTGCAGAAATAAAGTAAAATATTCCACTCGACTCAAGCCCGAACTGCCTTTTTGGGAGCACCCATCAGCCTCCTTTATCCCCACTGACTTCTTCTCTGATGTACATCCAATGCTTCATGATGTTCTTGGTCATTAAGGGGTGTTTCTCTTTCTCCTTGAAAGAAACAGCTCTGTCCCATTTTCTTTTATTCAGCGCAACACACTTGGAGTTGCCATGCACGATAGGCATGTGCAGCAGGCACAAAGGCCTAGGAGCGCTGACAAGAGGGTGGACAACCGGGAATGGCGCTCATATTTGATAGCTCTCTTGACCTCCTCATTGGACTGTGAAATGTAATCCGTGGTGTGCAGCATGTTGTACTCAATACTGTTGAGGACTTCTTGTTGTTCCAAAACCAGGATCTCCAAGTGCAAGAAGAGAGAATGAAGCTCACCGATCTGGGCCTCCAAGTCAAGGAGCTGCTGGTGCCGCACCTGGGCCATGGCGAGGTGCTGCTTGGCTTTGAGCACTTCCAAGTCCTGGCCAACAATGCGCGGCATTGTAGGACTCTCCACCAGTTGCTTGATGTCCTCCTCTTGGAGATGCAAGCCTGCCAGTTCTGTCTGTCTCTGGATCTGCTCCTTCAGCTTCTCCACATAGTGGGTTTCCTTGGCATAATGGTGACTGATGATCTCACGGTAGCGGTTAACCAGCACGGAGAACTGGCAACAGCGAATGCGGCTGATGGCCAGGCTCTTAACCCCATCCTTGGCCATGGTCTCCTGGATGTCACTGAGCCTTGGCTGGAGAACCTTCGCTTCTCTAGTGAAAGTGTCCTTCATGGCACTCAGCTCTTTTTTCTCCTCCCCAATGCTCACTTCGGTGGTGCAGCAAAGCACCTGTTCCTGTTTCTTGGCGATGTTCTCAGAGGATTGCTCCAACTTATCCAGAGCCCAGGAGAGGCTGGTTATTTCTTGGAGGACCTTACTCATGGGACTGCTCTCGTCTTCTTGGAAAGCAGGGTTATCAAAGGAGAAGATCTCCTCCAGATCCAGAGAGTCCTCGTTCTCGTCCATGCGTCTCCTCAGTTCCTCCAGCCGGTCCTTCATCTCCTTGATGCTTGAAGCATTTGCAGGAAAGGAAGTGAGCCAGATCCACCCATCGGCTTTGAGGAAAAAAAATTTTTAAGCAACTCCAGAAATGTTTTGCGTCAATCTGAGCTGCTGGGGCTGAGAAGCCGGGAGAAAAAGAATTTTAAAAAAAGAAGAAGAAAAGCAAGCTCTTCCCTCCCTCCTCCAGCTATTGCAAATATTGACTGTGGCAATTCGCTTCTCAGCCAGCATTTTACCCGGCATCACATGGCCAACTCTGACCGGCTGGACAACATTCCATGCCAAGGGTGGGTGGCACCAAGCCCAACAAGGAGAACAGAAGCTGCCAAAACGAATCTTCTGAGAACCAGTCGGAAGAAATGACAACCCCAAAGAGATGTTTTGAAGGGGGGCTGGGGGGGGGAGCCAACTCCAAAGGTGACCCTACAAATTCCTCTTGTCCATAGCAGATCTTGACCCTTAGAACTATGGGCGTGTGCAATTCATGTGACCGATCATGCAGGAGGATGTTTCCTTTGGTGGAATATATCAGGTTTTCAACCGAATATGCTCTGCTTGCTTTAAAACAAAACTCCCAAAACAAAACAAAGCAAAAATCCAACCCCAAAACAAGTAGTTAGGACCTTTTGGGAGGAAGAAATTAGATTCTTTGAAATAGTATAGATTCCCCTGCTTGAGCAGGAGGCTGGACTAGAAGACCTCCAAGGTCTCTTCCAGCTCTGTTATTCTATTCTATTCTATTCTATTCTATTCTATTCTATTCTATTCTATTCTATTCTATTCTATTCTAGTCTAGTCTAGTCTAGTCTAGTCTAGTCTAGTCTATTCTATTCTAGTCTAGTCTAGTCTAGTCTAGTCTAGTCTAGTCTTCTATTTTGTTCTGTTCTGTTCTATTTTATTCTGTTCTATTCTATTCTATTCTATTCTATTCTATTCTATTCTATTCTAGTCTAGTCTAGTCTAGTCTAGTCTAGTCTAGTCTTCTATTCTGTTCTATTCTATTCTATTCTATTCCATTCCATTCCATTCCATTCCATCCTATCCTATCCTATCCTATCCTATCCTATCCTATCCTATCCTATCCTATCCTATCCTCCTCTGTGCCCATGCCTAAAATTTGTGCAAACTGTCCTCTCCCAAATGTCTTCAGGAGTTGTAGGTGGTGTTTCACCATTGGGGTTTTTTTAAAGAAGAGACTGGCCAGTCACTTGTCTGAAATGGTCTAGGGTTTCCTGCTTGAGCAGGGGGTTAGACTAGAAGACCTCCAAGGTCCCTTCTAGCTACATTCTGATGGGTTGAATCGACTGGTAAATAACTAGGCCTCGTTCAAACCAGGCGGTACGAAGATTGAGATACAGGTAGCTCTCAATTTACAACCACAACGGCACCCAACATTTCTGTTGCTAAGTGAGTGCTAAGTTGTTAAGTGAGTTTTGTCCTGTTTTACAACCTTTCCAGCGATGATTGCTAAGTGAATCTCTGCAGTTAGTAACCCGGTTGTTAAGTGAACTTGGCTTCCCCATGGACTTTGCTTGTCAGAAGGTCACAAAAGGGGGTCACATGAGCCCCGGAACACTGCAACCATCATAAATATGAGTCAGTTGTCAAAAGTCTGAATTTTGACCACCTGTCCATGGGGATGCTACGACGGTCATAAGTGTGAAAACGGCCATAACTCACTCTTGAAGTTGTGACTTCAAACAGTCACGAAATGAATCGTTGTTAGTCAAGGATTACCTGTACTAGGGGAGGACTGGAGAGTCGTAACTAAGCCATGAAAACACGTTGGGTGACTTTGGAGCCAAGACAATCTTCAAACCAGGATGGTTACTTCCACAGTAACACGGAGGGGAAATCCCAAATTACTTTCCGCTGATGGGGGAAAGGTGTGATATGCATCTCTCTCTTCTTTTTTTTGCAATACTTTTTTTATTTTTATATTTTAAAAAATATCTCTTTAGGTCAGTGGTGGCTAACCTTTTCGGGCTCCTGTGCCAAAAATTGCGTGCGTGTTACCACACGCACACTTGTGTGCAATGAGCCTCCCCACACCCCCTGCGCATGCGCGCCCAATGCCCCCTGCCACCCCCCGCCACCCACTTACATACACTGCGCCTCACAGCTGATTTTTCAGCTGGTTTGAGGCCTTTTTCGGCCTCCCAGAGGCTTTTCAGGTTGAATTATAGGCCCGTTTCATCACTTCCGGTATTACAGGAAGTGACAAAACGGGCCTATAATTCAACCTGAAAAACCTTGCAGAGGCTTTTTCCAAGCCTCTGAGAGGCCGAAAAAGGCCTGAAACCAGCACATAAATAAGCTGGGAGGCACGCGCATGTGCAGTGAGGTAAGTTTGCCTGTGGCTTGTGTGCCGGCACAAATGGCTCTGCATGGCACTTCTGGCATGTGTGCCATAGTTTTGCCATCACAGCTTTAGGTGAACAATGTGGTTCCAGATTTTTACTTTTCCGTACAAACATGACCATAATTACAGATTCAGCTTTCGTATCCAATTTGACACCATATTATGACTTTTTTTTTCATTTTTCTTTAAATATTCTCATCCCTCATTCGTTACACACATTCCCTTGTTTTCTCACATCGGTCACATTTGCAAGTTTTATGTGTGATACACATCTTAACAGCCGTGAAAAAGGGAAGAGCTTTGGAAAGGCAGAGGGGTGCTACTTTTGTCTCGCTTTGGCTTAGGGTGAAATGTGCCATGGGACCCCTGTGCTTTGTGAACAATGGCTTACTGTGTAGCATTAGGAGGGAACTCCCTCTTCCGTGGCTTGTTCAACAAATCACCATCAAAACTCAACGCAGCAGACCAACCCATCTTATCAGTGGTGGAATTCAAGGTTTTTTTTTTACTACCAGTTCTGTGGGCATGGCTTGGTGGGGGTGGCAGGGGATGGATATTGCAAAATCCCCATTCCCACCCCACCCCTGGGGGAAGGTTACTGCAAAATCTCCATTCCCTCCCCGCCCCACTAACCTGCTTTCCAGCTCCATTCTCCTGTGCAGGGCAACAAAAGAAGACCCAGCTGATCATCTGGGACTCAATGTGAGGCCCATTGAATGATGAATAGATGGTGGGGCAGGACCAGTCAGAGGTGGTATTGGCTGGTTCTCCGAACTACTCAAAATTTCCGCTACTGGTTCGCCAGAACTGGTCAGAACCTGCTGAATGCCACCTCTGCATCTTATCCAAGGAATTCACAAAAACCCATAGATAGATAGGTAGATGAAAGAAGAAAGAAAAGGAAGGAAGGAAGGAAGGAAGGAAGGAAGGAAGGAAGGAAGGAAGAAAGAAAGAAAGAAAGAAAGAAAGAAAGAAAGAAAGAAAGAAAGAAAGAAAGAAAGAAAGAAAGAAAGAAAGAAAGAAAGAAAGAAAGGCAGAGAAAAAGATAAAAGAATTAATGCTGAGTCACTATTGGGAAGAAATTGCAGATAGTGTCTCCTTGACTTCCAGCAGCTGACGGTGTGTAGTTTTAGCTTCTGAAGGCTTCAGCACACACACACACACACACACACACACACACACACACACACACACACACGGTCTTGAGGGTAATGTGCCATAATTAGCTTGCAAACTATCCAGATTAGCCCCTGGGTAGCACCAAAGAGGGACTTCTGTAATGGCAAACCTTAGCAAAGAGGAGGAAGGCAGGGGTGGGCTTCAAAAAATTTAGCAACAGGTTCTCTGCCCAGTTGCTGGGTGGGCGTGAGCATGGTGGGCGTGGCCTAATCGGCCTCCTGCACCACAGCGGAGGGGAGTTTTTGCCCTTCCTGGGCTCCGGAGGTTCTCTGGATGCTGGAAACAGGCCCATTTCCGGCCTTCCAAAACTTCCAGGAGGCCTGTTATTTTGCCCTCCTTGAGCCTCCATTTGCGCCCTGCACTTGCCTGCATCCAAATAGGCCACGTGGTGACTCCGGGGAAAGGAGGGGGGTCCAGCCAGGAGTGGGATTTGGGGGTCCTCCGAACTGCCCAGAATCTTAGCTAGGGGCTCCCCCGAACCCCTGCAAACCCCCAGCAGCCCCACCCCTGGAAGAAGGGCTTCAGCCTAAGGCCAGTAGTCTCCAATCTTGGCCGAAAGCTGGCTGAGGAATTCTGGGAGTTGAAGTCCACAAGTCTTAAAATGACCACAGTTGGAAACTCCTGGCCTAGACCAGGGACAGATAAGAGGCAGCTGAGCCCTCAGTAGGAATGGAAATGTGGCCCATGTCTCAGAAGGGACTCTCCTTGGTTTCTTGGACTGTAAAGGTAAACAGGAGAGAGATGTACTTACAGATGTTCAGGTGGTCCTAATTGAGTCCAAAATTTCTATTTTCTGAGCAAGACATGGGTTAAGTGAGCGTTGCCCCATTTTACAACCTTTCTCACCCAAGTTGTTAAGTGAATTACCTCAGTGGTTGGCTCAGTAACATGGTTGTTATAACTGAATCCAGTTTCCCCTTTGAATTTGCTCATCAGAAGGTCGCAAAAGGGGATCGTGTGACCCCGGGGACACTTCAACTGTCACAAATAGGAACCAGGAACCAAATGTCTGGATTTTGATGTATCTTAGATTAACAGACTTGGAAGGGACCTTCTAGGTCATCTAATCCAACCATCTGCCCAAGTAGGAGACCCTACACCGTTGCTGACAGAGGGCAGTCCAGTCTCTTCTTGAAAGTCTCAAGTGATGAAGTTCCTAAATCCTCCAAAGGCAACTTCTGTTCCATGGGTTGATTGTTCTCACGGTCAGAAAATTCCTCCTTATTTCCAGGTTGACGTTCTCCTTGTTCAGTTTCTATCCATCATTCCTTGTCTGGCCTTTGGGTGCTTTCCAATCTTTAGGATCTCCAGGACCTAATTCCAAGCAAAAACACCTAGAAAACAAGTCAAATAATGAAATAAAGAGGGATGGGAAGGAAGACGAATAAGAGACATAGGAAGTATACCCAGCGTCAGACATAAAGATCTCAAGTGCCTATATGCTAATGAGCAAAGTCTGGGGAACAAACAGGGTGAACTCGAACTACTAATACATGAAGGCAGATATGATATAGTTGGAATAACAGAAATTTGGTGGGATGAAACCCATGAATGGAACATACTGGTAGAAGGATA